TCTCCCCAGAAACACCCCGACTTCCCCAAGAAGCCCCTGACTCCATATTTCCGCTTCTTCATGGAGAAGCGGGCCAAATATGCCAAGCTTCACCCCGAAATGAGCAACCTGGATCTCACCAAGATCCTGTCCAAGAAATACAAGGAGCTTCCCGAGAAGAAAAAGGTACGGGGGGAGTCAGCAAGGCCCTTCCCACTTGCGTACCTCTGCGTGCAGGGCTCTGCCTGCCCAGCTCTCCCAGTAAAACCAGCAGAGCCCAGCCTCTACCTGGTGAGGGTTTAATCCAGCTCTCGATGGGAGAAACCTAGGTGCTTGTTTAATCCTGTTGGACCAGTAAGACTTCCTTGGCTTTGCCTTTCCTGGTTCCCAGGATTTGTGGGGTGGAGGCTGGCCAGGTCTGTCCATCGGTCCGTCTCTTCCAGATGGATCTGGATGGTGACTTTGCTGTTGGGTGGATCTGCATTTAACGCTGGGGTTAAATCGCACACCCTGCCATGGCCGCCCTGTCCGAGCGAGGGATGGAGGGGCAGGCTCTGCTCCGAGCGGTGGGAGGTGCTGGGAGGAGAGCTGCCCGTCTCACCTCCAGCTCTGGAGGTGGCCTTGGCCTTGGCCAGAGCCCGGGCAGGCGTTTTGGGTGCCCCAGTTCTCAATCTGGGTGGATTTACCACCAGCAGGAAAGGTCCAGGGCACAAAGTCCTGCTGTGCTGTCTTGCTCAGCGCTGCTCCGGTGCAGGGAGAGGTGCGGGGGAAATCCTGCTTCTGAATCCCTGGGCAGGCTGGAAAGCCTCAGCTGGGAGCTGCAGGACCGTTCTGATGGGCTGGGGAGCCCTCAGTCCCTTTGGGGGTGGTGGGGTGCCCAGCCAGCAGGGTTGACAGGGAGGTATCTGCCTGCCTGTTCCCTGGTGCTCAAGTCCCTCTCCACCTCCCTGGTGGCTTTGTGTCCCCAGATGAAATACATCCAGGACTTCCAGCGAGAGAAGCAGGAGTTTGAGAGGAACCTGGCGAGGTTCAGGTGAGCGGGCAGCACCCCCCCCAGCGTTTCCCCCGGCCCCTCCAGACAGACCCGGTGTCCCCTCCCGTGTGTAGCTCACGGAGGAAGCCCTGATGGGCGCTGCGGCTTGGAAAGCTCAAAGGCAGGGGAGAAAAAAAAGAGCATTGAAAAGGTGTCTGAGAGCAGCCCTCCCTCCAGCTGGGAGACTTGGCAAGGGGGAGAGAGTGGAGGACCAACCATGCTCTGGGGGTTAGGGTCTGCAAGGGGAGGACAGAAGCCCTGCCACTGGCACTATTAAAAGCTGAAGCAACCACCCTGTTCCCCCCAGACCTTGCCTTTGAACGTGGTCGCTGTCACCCAGGTGGATCCTGGCGTTCCCCGTCACCTGCCGCTGCTCCAGGGATGCAGCCCAGCGCGGCGCGTTAAAGGGGATGCTTGTAGCTGATGCTCCCCCAGGAGGAGCAGACTCCAGTCTCTCCTAAAACTCTCCTGCTCTTTTCGGGGACCCCCCTAGTATCTGAGCCCATGGAGGCTCAGCCCTGCAGTGACGGTTACCCCTCAGCGGGGAGGTTTAGGGGATGCTCTCCTTCCACCTGCAACCTCCGTAACGCTCTCCCTCCCCCACCTCCCTGGCGGGTAAAGGGAAGATCACCCGGATCTCATCCAGAACGCCAAGAAATCCGACGTCCCTGAAAAACCCAAGACCCCCCAGCAGCTGTGGTACAACCACGAGAAGAAGATCTACTTGAAAGTGCGTCCAGATGTGAGTACGGTGGGTGGGAGTGCGTGTGAGCGTGAGTGTCGAGGGGTCCTGTACCCCGCTGCTGGGGGTAGAGGAGGGGGAAAAAAAGAGAAGCATTTTAGGGGAGGGACGGGATGGAAGACACCGCTAGAAGCTCCCAGCAGTCTGGACGGAGGTAAGAAGGGGCTCTGCACATCTGGAAGAGGCTCGGGGATTCAGACCCCACTTTTTGCCTGCAGTTGAAGGGGTGACCACAGCCTGAGTCAGGGCAGGAAAGATTTCCAGCACAGACCTCCACCTCTGGCCATGGCCCACACTTGCACGCACCCCCTTCCCCGGCTGCCAGATCGCAGCCACCCCACGGCCCCAAGCCGGGTGCCGCGGGGACAAGACGGCAGGCCACACTATTTTTGCCATTTTTTTTTTAAAAATTTTTTTTTTTACCCCCTCTTCTTTTTTTGGATTTTACCCCTCTGCCCTCACCTCTGGCTTTGGGTTTTCAGGCCACCACGAAGGAGGTGAAAGAGTCGCTGGGCAAGCAGTGGTCTCAACTCTCGGATAAAAAGAGGCTGAAATGGATTCATAAGGCCCTGGAACAGCGGAAGGAGTACGAGGTAGGGAGCAGCCTCACCCGTTCCCCTCCACACTCGTCCCTACGTTCACTCTGAGCCACTCTGCCTCCCGGCCGCAGCCGCCGGCGGCTAGCCAGCCTCACCCGAGAGCCAGCGTGGGGGTTCAGCCAGATCCCTGCAGGTCCCTAGTGAGTCTGAGCCCTGCCTCCTCCAGCGATGTTTGGGGAAGGGAGAAGTACCCCTGGGGAGATGATTTAGGGCAATGGTTGGCTTCTCTTTCCTCCTCCTCTGGCCCCCAGCCAGGCGGGGATCAGAGCCCCTCTCCTGACGGCTCTCCATCCTTTGCAGGAGATCATGCGTGACTACATCCAGAAGCACCCCGAGCTGAACATCAGCGAGGAGGGCATCACCCGCTCCACCCTCACCAAGGCTGAGCGCCAGCTCAAAGACAAGTTTGACGGACGACCCACAAAGCCACCTCCGTGAGTCCTGTCCCTCCCCGTCTGGATGCGAGGGATGTGTCCCCCTCCGAGCTGTCACTTGAGGCTCTTGCCCAGCTCGGGCAGACGCTGGTTCTTGCTAACGAGGAAACTGGGGCTCTGCCTGGCATCGAGAGCCCCAATCATGTCTGGGACCATGGGCAGTCGATGACACCCTTGAACCGGTCCTTAAATATACATTAAATCTACGTTTGTAGAGAATCTGAGTGAGGTTTATGGTAATGCTGTGTGCTCCAGGTTAGGCGGTAATCCAACCGTTAGCTTCCCTAAAATGCAGACACCTCTGGCACAGCACTTCAGTGCCCGGTGCAACCCAGAGGGCAGCTGGGGGGTCTTGAGGGGGACTCTTAGCACCCAGCCAGCTCCGCCAAGGGGACGTGAGCGGGGCAGGTTGTCCCTAATGCTGGGTCCCTCCGTCGGTTGCAGGAATAGCTACTCCCTGTACTGTGCAGAGCTGATGGCCAACATGAAAGACGTGCCCAGCACCGAGCGGATGGTGCTGTGCAGCCAGCAGTGGAAACTGCTCTCCCAGAAGGAAAAGGACGCGTACCACAAAAAGTGTGATCAGGTGAGTGGCCGAGGGTGGACAGGTGGGTGGACAGGCAGATGGACACCAGCACTGTGGGGAGGGAGGAGTAGGATGGGAGAGCTTGGGCTACAAATCTTGCAGGAAATGAGCCCCTCACCTTTCCTTGGTGCCTGTTCTTGTTGTCGTGACCACCAATTCCCCCCGAGATCCTCGGTCACCTCCCTCAGTCCTCTGTCTCCCCAGTCCATGTGTGTGGGACCAGCAGATGGTCTGGGTAGAGGATGCTGTTGCTGAGGGGACCGAGGCCGGGTCAGGGACTGCACGAGGCAGGGATGGCGTGGGGGATCTCGGTGTAACCGCGTCTCTCCATCTCCCTGCAGAAAAAGAAAGACTACGAGATTGAGCTCCTCCGCTTCCTGGAGGTGAGTGACGTCGGGGTGCCTCGGCCATCAGGTGCTGGAGACCCTGAACACGGGGGGAGGGTGCCCTGAGCCAGGGGCTGAGATGGGTTAAACGGGGACTGCACTGATGCTGCCCTCTTCTACTCCCCCCAAAACGTGGCTGAACCCAGCCACGGGTGCTGTGTGGAGATACTTGTGCATAGTCTTGACCCTTCCCCAGCTGCCCTAATGCCTGACCCAGTGTCTTCCAGTTGGGCACTGGGAGGCGGGGATGGGCCTCCCAGCCCGGGAGGGGAAGCCGGAGGTGAGCGGAAGGTTGGTGCCAGAGGAGAGGTTGCCGTCAGCGGCTGCGGCTGTGCAGGCGGCAGCGAGTCTCTTGCTTCCTTCCCTTGGCCGGGGCGTAGGCGGGGGGAGTCACACCGAGTGCGTACCAGCATCGTGCTCAGCACCCAGGCGGACATGATGCAGCTTTGGCTGCGTCTGCAAGGGGAAGGGGTGGAAAACCATGGGGCACGCCCGGATCTGGGCACCTACCCACCCTGCCTTCATAGGGAGGAAGCAGATGAGACTGAGCCAGGGAAGGGACAGAGCTGGGGAAGAGGGACATTGCCCAGCAAGCGGGGTGACACAGGCGTGGGGATCCCCAGGCTGTGCACCCAGGCTTGCAGTGCCTGATGTTGGCCCTGGCTGGGGTGGCTTTTGCATCAGGACAACGGAGTGCATTAGTTCCACCTCCCCACCATCCCTGTTCCCTGATTGCATCAAAGCCTCGTTAGCGTCGGGCCCTCTCCCCGTGTGATTGTGTCTCCTCCTGTGCCACCCAGAGCCTGCCCGAGGAGGAGCAGCAGCGGGTGCTAGGCGAGGAGAAGATGCTGGGCAGCAACCGGAAAGGGGCGACGAGTCCTGCGTCCAAAAAGTCCTCACCAGAGACTGGCAAGGTGAGAGTGGCAACTGGAGAGATGGGGCGACCATGCCGGAGACACGGGGTGGAGTTCCTGGCATCTCAGGGTGCTCTGAGGGCTTGGTTCTTTCATTCCTTGGTTCTTTCACCATGGTTT